TTCTCCTCTCTCTCTCTCTCTCTCTCCCCCTCTCTCTCTCCCTCTCTCTCTCTCTATTTTCTGTGCTACAATGAAAGTAAAGTGGAAGTAAGAAAACCACAAGTAACTTTCTACAAGCACACTCTCTCAGCCTCATTGTGTGTCATGGTTGCCTAGTAACTAGAAGCTGACACAGAGCTGTGAGCTGCTCCCTCCTCAGCCTGGCTGCAGTTGGCTGACACTGTCTGAGATGCTGCTTCCTGGATACCATCTCCATGCAAACAGACCTGACATCGCCAAACAAGGTGGAACACTGACTGCATCACCAAACACAGCACAGACTGCACATTATTCACAGGAGAACTTCCCACTCCAAGATTCAGGTATTACTCACAGCAACATATATACACTCATTCCTAGCAAAGTCTTTTTAATACTGTGGCTGCATAGATATAGAACCATCAATACGTTATTTGGTTCTAAAGAAGTGTGTAAATGATAGTGGTCATTCGTGGTCAACACTCGTATATTTACAGATTTATTCATACCCTGAATAGTGTGGTTTGTGGTCACCCAAATACTTTCAAATGGCCTTTTTGTTTCTTAACATACACACGTTTATTCAACAAATGTTTTCAAATGTTAGGTGTGTGTGTGTATTTGTAAACATTTGTTGAATAAACATGTGTGTCTGTGTGTTTATATAGATATATATTTTTTATATATTTTTTTTCCTCCCACAAGAAAAACACAAAGACCCTCCCACCCCCATGTATGTATATAAAACATCATCTTCACTCTCTCTTCCTTGTGCATCCTGTTATAAAAATCTTGACCCCCATACTCCCACCAACAGGGTGATAATGCTACCTATACTCTATGGCGCGGTAAGGTCGCATTCACACTTGCGTGTTCTGTGAATGTGCGCTAAATGTGCACAAAAGCAAGTGTTTTGGCACGCATTGACTGAATCATGGCAAAGCGTGAAATGCACTTCCATTGCCATGATTTCTAATAGCACCCAAAATGCGGCCAAGAAGACGCATGTTTTTTCTCTGTGTAAAACGTGTACAAATGCACAGCCAAAAACGTGGAATGCATGTTGCAAAATTTGCTACATAATCTTTTCTGACACATTTGTTGCACGTTCAGGACGCACGGTAAACACAGCACAGAATTGCACATCAACACGCATAAACGTGGTACATGTTCAAGGTACGTGCAGGTGTGAATGCGACCTAAGGTTGTCACCTTTCTATGCACGCTGCTAAATAGGACCACAAAAGGACATGCTGAGATCACACTGCATCTTCCAGTGCACAGGAACGTACAGCTACAGGAAGTACTAGTCTACTTTGCAGCAGTGCTTAGGAGAAAAGTACATTTGAAAACATAATGGAACTTTTATAGTTTTAGGGTTTAGTAGTACTTTAAGCAAAATAAACAACCTTGCCTGCCCCAGCCAATCACAGCTGGACTTGTTTCAAACTTCTGCCAGAATAATTATATAATTAGATTATGTTACAAAGTGCTGTTACCCATGGCAACCACATTTTTCGTCATGCTCTCATTAGAGTAACATATATATATA